AAAAAAAAAAAATTGTATTTTTGACATAATATGGTCTTGACTCATTTTGAGTGAGCAGTCTACTTATAGGACCTCTTCCAAAAACAATAGCTTAGCCAAGGTTCATATATCATTTGTTCAGCTGTCTTTTGAAATCTAAGCTCAAAACTTCTAGTTTTTTTGTTTTTTTTTTTTTTTTGAGATGGAGTTTCACTCTTGTCGCCCAGGCTGGGAGTGCAATGGCACAATCTTGGCTCACTGCAACCTCCACCTCCTGGGTTCAAGCGTTTCTCCTGCCTCAGCCTCCTGAGTAGCTAGGATTACAGGCGCCCACCACCATACCCAGGTAATTTTTGCTTTTTTAGCAGAGACGGGGTTTCCCCATGTTGGCCAGGCTGATCTCGAACTCCTGACCTCAGGTGATCTGCCCACCTCAGTCTCCCAAAGTGCTGGCATTACAGCATAAGCCACTATGCCCACCCAAAACTTCTAGTCTTATAAACATTTCATCTTGTTATTGGTTCTTTCTGAATCCTGATTTCGTCATCCAACATATTAGCTATTCTCCCCCATTGGAAAATTGATCTGACATGATTTATCTTTATTCAAACCTTCCATGCATTTACAAGATGAAAAAATCTTGCAGCACACCTCTTTCCAAGTGGACAGACAACAGATAAACTAGTAACTTTTCAATTCTCTACAATCATCAAATTCACTCTCCTCTATCTTGCTCACCAAGAGGCAAATCTCTTGCTGAAGTCCTGATACACAATATGTCTCTGACAATCTCTGATCTACAAACCCAGTAGGAAAAAAAAAAGAAAGAAAATGAAAAGAGAGAAAGAGAGGGGAAAAGTAAGTTCAGTTTGGCAAGGACTAAAGTCTTAGTGGAGTAATGCTATTCCCGATGTTACTCCTGTTCAGAAATATCTATCTAATGCACCTTTCTGGAATTTTAGAAAAAAATAATTTCTTTTTTTTTGAGACGGAGTCTCACTCTGTTGCCCAGGTTGGAGTGCAATGGCGCGATCTCGGCTCCTGCAACCTCCACCTCCCGAGTTCAAGAGATTCTCCTGCCTCAGCCTCCTGAGTAGCCGGGATTGCAGGCACCCGCCACCATGCCCGGCTAATTTTTGTATTTTTAGTAGAGACGGGGTTTTACCATGTTGGTCAGGCTGGTCTTGAACTTCTGACCTCAAGTGATCTGCCTTCCATGGCCTCCCAAAGTCCTGGGATGACAGGTGTGAGCCACCGCACCCAGCCTAAAAATTTTTTTTAAAATTGATGTTGGCCGGGCGCGGTGGCTCCCACCTGTAATCCTAGCACTTTGGGAGGCCGAGGTGGGTGGATCACGAGATCAGGAGTTCAAGACCGGCCTGGTCAAGATGGTGAAACCCTGTCTCTACTAAAAATACAAAAATTAGCCTGGCATGGTGGCATGCGCCTGTAATCCTAGCTACTCAGGAGGTTGAGGCACAGAACTGCTTAAACCCGGGAGGCGGAGGTTGCAGTGAGTTGAGATCACACCACTGCACTCCAGCCTGGGCAACAAGAGTGAAACTCCGTCTCAAAAAAAATAAATTGATGTTAAGCTAATCATTCTAGAACTGATTTTAAATTTGTGAAAGGATGGGAGGCTGAGGCAAGAGAATCACTTGAAGCCAGGAGGCAGAGGTTGCAGTGAGCAGAGACTGCGCAACTGCACTCCAGCCTGGGTGACACAGAGAGACTCCATCTCAATTAATCAACCAATCAATCAATTTGTGAAGGGATTAAAGTAAGGCTAGGGCCGGGCATGGTGCCTCATACCTGTAATCATAGCACTCACTTTGGGAGGCCAATGCAGGTGGACTGCTTGAGGCCAGGAGTTTGAGACCAGACTGGCCAACATGGCAAAACCCAGTTTCTACTAAAAGTAGCTGGGCGTGGTGCCACACGCCTGTAATCCCAGCTACTGGGGAGGCTGAGACTTAAGAACCACTAGAACCCGGGTGGTGGTGGTTGCAGTGAGCCAAGATCGCACCACTGAACTCCAGCCTGGACGAAAAAGCAAGCCTCTTGTCTCAAAAACAAAACAAAACAAAAGAAAGACTAGGCCCGGTGGCTCACAAATACTTGTAATCCCAGCATTTTGGGCGTGGGAAACATGCCAACACCCCGTCTCTACAAAAAACACAAAAACTAGCCACACATAGTGTCACACACCTGTAGTCCCAGCTACTCCAGAGGCTGAGGTGGGAGGATGGCTCCAGCCCAGGACGTGGAAGCTACACTGAGCCATGATGGGACCACTGGACTTCAGCCTGAGTGAAAGGTGAGACCCTGCCTCAAAAAAAGTAATAAAATTATTAATTATTGGCCAGGCATTGTGGTTCACACCTGTAAGCCCAGCACTTTGAGAGGCCCAGGCGTGGATCCCTTGAGCTCAGGAATTCCAGACCAGCCTGGGCAACATGGCAAAACCCAATGTCTACCAAAAAGTATAAAAAATTAGCCAGGCAAGGTGGCATGCACCTGTGGTCCCAGCTACCCAGGAGGCTGAGGTAGGAGCATTGCTTGAGCCTGGAAGGCAGAGGTTGCAGTGAGCAAAGATCACACCATTCACACCACTGCACTCCAACCTGGGTGACAGAGACCCCATCTTACCAAAAAAAAAAAAAAAATTATTAATTACACACTTACTTGAACATAATTGATAAAGTCTTCCTTGAAAAGGGTTCTTCTCTGGATTTTGTACTCTAGATCAGAAGCCTTCTTAATGATAGCCCTGAGGAGAAAACCATTTAAACTTCACTTGAAAACTGCAAAAATTAAATGTTTAACTTTATTTTGAATATATTTAAAACACGTTTTTCAAAATACAAAATTCCTAGAGTTATCCTTCATAAGAAAATACACCGGCCAGGCTCAGTGGCTCACGCCTGGAATCCCAGCACTTTGGGAGGCTGAGGTGGGTAGATCACAAGGTCAAGAGATTGAGACCACCCTGGCCAACATGGTAAAACTCCATCTCTACTAAAAAAACAAAAGTTAGCTGGGCGTGGTGGTGCGCGCCTGTAGTCCCAGCTACTCGGGAAACTGAGGCAGGAAAATTGCTTGAACCTGGGAGGCAGAGGTTGCAGTAAGCCGAGATCATGCCACTGCACTCCAGCCTGGTGACAGAGCCAGACTCCGTCTCAAAAAAAAAAAGGAAAAAAAAGTATTCTCTTACACAATTACTTTTGTGTTCTTAAGGGTATCAGGATGTATTTTTAAACTTTCAGGAAAATCATCTAAATCAACTCCCAAAACCAATGACATTCCCACCAGCAAAGCAAATATAATTAAGAACTTTATACCATTTATGCATGGTATTTTTTTCTTCTTTCTTTTTCTTTTTTTTTTTTTGAGACAGTGCCTCGCTCTGTCGACCCAGACTGGAGAGCAGTGGCATGATCACAGCTCACTGCAACTTCCACCTCCTGGGTTCAAGCGATTCTCCTGCCTTAGCCACCTGAGTAGCTGGGACTACAGGCGCCCGCCACCACGCTCGGCTAATTTTTGTCTTTTTAGTAGAGATAGGGTTTCACCATATTGGCCAGGCTGGTCTCGAACTCCTGATCTCACGTGATCCTCCCGCCTCGGCCTCCCAAAGTGCTGGGATTACAGGCGTGAGCCACTGCGCCTGGCTGGCATCAATAAAGACTTCTTTTACACCGAGTTCAGGTCACTTTGATTTTAATAATAAATCTCATTCCGAAATTCCTCTTATTTCTGAGTTCTCAACATGTAAATTTTTTAAAAACTCTAAATTGTGTCTGCCTTAAAAGGTTTATTACTACGAAGGACTTAAGGGAGAAGATTCAGAGTCCTTAGCTAAGGAGAGAACACATGACAAGCACATTTTAGGAGAATTTAATGCAAGATATGCAAGACAGGTGTCTTTAGTAATGGTAACAACAACATTTACTGAGCACTTTCTAAGCATCCACACTATGTTCTGTGTTTCAGTAACGAATGCTTACTTTGAAGCTCTGAGTCGCATTACTACATTCAGACGTTGCGAAACAAAGCAACAATCACAGAAACCATTAAAAACTATTAAACATAATTTTAACACGCAACTGAATGTCTACTATGTGCCAGGCGCTGTAGTTAGGCTCTGGAGTAGCATATGAAACTCATTTCAACGGTCCCCACCTTCAAGTCTAGTTAGAAACTTATTCACTCCCGCTGCACTCTGTTCCCATCCCTACAGCAGTACAAGCTACTGCAATCACCTTACAGTACACTGTTATCAAAATATTTAATTTGTCTGTCTCCCCCACCACACACAGCCCAATTAGCTCCTAATGAGCAGGAATCCTTGGTTAATCACCGTTACGACCCTAAGACCCGGCTCCATGAAAGGCTTGTCAATATGTCGGATGGGTAAGTAGACGGACGGGACGGATAACCTTGCAACGAATGAAAAATTCTGGACATCACCGAAAATGGGAAATGGGCTTCCGCCACGTTAGGAAAAATAAACACAGATCGAGCGTCCCCACACCTGGCCCCTGCCACATACTCCCAACCTCCCCTCAGGCCGCCTTAGCTCTTCCCTCTCTCCAACCCTCTCTCACTTAATCTCCGCATGACTGAACAGTCCAATGCGCTCCAGCTGTTCCAATTCCGGGAGCCGATCTTCTATGCGCTCCTGAATTATCTCTGCCATGAGGTCCAAACTCTACAACCCCGTGGGGAGCTCCTCAACAGCGAACACGAGTGCGAAACTCCCAATTTCAGGTTCGGAGATCCAGCCCCACCACCTACGCGTCCGGACGTAACGTGCTCCTTAGGTCCCGCCTTTTCCGCTTCCGCCGCCTCCGCCGTAGGGGAAGGCCCTTTGGCTTCTACAGCCACTGTCCCCTCCCTGTGGCCGATTGTGGGATTGCAGCGAGAATCCCCCCTGGTCTTGGGCCGGACGACTCTAGCGGACAGGAGTTGAGGGGCGGGGCTAGACGGGAGGCGGGGCTAAGTGCGCGCGCGCCGCTAGACTTGGACCGCGATCGGGAAAAGAGTCTCCGGGTATGGAGAGGTGGGCTACCAAAGCCTAAAAGGGACACAAGATGCATTTTCTGCAGAATATTGTCTATTTTTATTGTGCTCCCATTCCACGTCCTGACTTCCCAACACCAAGAACAACAAAAAAAAAGCAAAGGAGGATATTTTACAATTAAACATTTTTGAAAGCCGGTCGCCGTGGCTCACGCCTGTAATCCCAGCACTTTAGGAGGCTCAGGCGAGCGGATCACCTGAGGTCAGGAGTTCGAGACCATCCTGGCTAACATGGTGAAACCCCGTTTCTACTAAAAATTGTAAAAAAAAATTAGCCGGGCTTGCTGGCATGCGCCTGTAATCCCAGATACTCGGGAGGCTGAGGAAGGAGAATCGCTTGAACCCGGGAGGCCGAGGTCGCGCCATTGCACTCCAGCTTGGGCAACAAGAGTGAAACTCCGTCTCTAAATAAATAAATAATAGAATTGTTTATTATTTAAATCAATATCTTGGCTTTGTAAGTAATAGCTTTAAAAATGTATGTCCCTAGGTGAATATCAGACACTATAAATTCTTTCTAGAAAAGGAAATTTTTGTATTGAAAAGTGTGGGAATTACCAAAATAAATCACTAAGGTATAGACACCCTCCTTAAACCATTGCCCAAGCAACTTAGCATTTCTAAGAGAACCACCAGGCAACACAGCTTGGAGGCAATATTGCTGGTATAGTTAGTAAACCTCAAATGATAACTACATGGTTCAGTTCTTTTTTAGTTCTGGATATAAAAAGCCAAAGCAGCAGTTCTTGCTAGACCTGCTTATTTCAACATTTACATTAGCACTGTGATCCTGTGTGTGATTTATGAAAGGAGAATGGGCCCAGCAAAACGATGTTCCACCTCTGTGCCTTTCATTTCTTTCTTTCCTTTCACATTTTACCCCACTCATCTCAGAACTGAGACGAGGGTTGGCTTGTGCTACACCATTTCTTGAATCCTTCAGCTGTAAGACATGAGAGAAGTGGAAGAAAATCATGAATGTAAGACAAAGAGAGAATTTACTTGTAAAAGAAAAATCTCTGGGGCTGTGTTAACAGTAAGAGTGGAGATGACACTAGATAGTGAACTCTATGTGGGCGGGGAATTTTTTCCTGTTTGGCTGGATAGATACTCTATAGCTTATAGCAGTGCCTACCATATAAGTACTCAGTTAATAAATGCATGACACTAAGAAAAGGCACTTGCTAAATTTCTTTAGGTACAAGGAAGTCAGCAAGCTCTGACAGACTGTAATCATTTCAAAGTAAATTTGATAGAGACCTTGACAAATTAACCATGTGTTTTTGTTTTGTTTTTTTTTTAAAGACAGAGTCTCGCTCTGTCGCCAGGCTGGAGTGCAGTGGCATGATCTCGGCTCATCACAACCTCCAACTTCCTGATTCAAGCGATTCTCCTGCCTCAGCCTCCGGAGTAGCTGGGACCACAGGCACGTGCCACCGCACCCAACTAATTTTTGTGTTTTTCTTAGAGATGGGGTTTCATCATGTTGGCCGAGATGGTCTCAATCTCCTGACCTCGTGATCCACCCGCCTCAGCCTCCCAAAGTGCTGGGACTCCAGGTGTAAGCCACCGTGCTCGCCCAATTTTTAAATCAAACTAACTATAAATATGCTCCTGCTTTATTTTGTTTTGTTTTGTTTTGTTGTTGTTTTTAAGACAGCCTCACTGGCCAGGCGCAGTGGCTCATACCTGTCATCACAGCACTCTGGGAGGCCGAGGCCGGC